CCTTCACCACCACCACCTCACCATCACCACCACCCCTCACCACCACCACCACCCTCATCATCACCACCCTCCCACCCCTAACAACTTTGCTTTCTCAACACTTCTCCCGTGTAGTACTCCTCCTCCCGTGTAGTACTCCTCCCATGTGATCTCCTCCTCCCGTGTGGACCTCCTCCACTGTGTGAACTCCTCCTCCCATGTGGTACTCCTCCCTCCCGTGTGGTACTCCTCCTGTGTGGTACTCCCTCCTCCCGTGTGGTACTCCTCCTCCCGTGTGGTACTCCTCCTCCCATGTGGTACTCCTCCTCCCATGTGGTACTCTCCTCCCCATATGGTACTCCTCCTCCTGTGGTACTCCTTCCCATGTGTTCTCCTCCTCCCGTGTGGTACTCCTCCTCCCGTGTGGTACTCCTCACTCCGTGTGGTACTCCTCCTCCCATGTACTCCTCCTCCCTTAGTACCTCCTCCTCATTATCTTCGTCAAAACTTACCCCCACCCTACCCCCCCACCCCCACCCCCACCCTACACACACCACCACCCTCCCTCCCACACTCCCCCACACACACCCCCCCCACTCCCCCCACCCCACACCCCACCCCACCCCACACACCCCACACACACCCCACCCCACCCCCCCACCCACACACACCCCACACCCCCCACCCCACCCACCCCCTACTGATGGGATGAGTTTCTATATGCAACAACCTGAAGACAAAGCGTGATCCAATTACGCCACCTTCCTTACTGCCTTAGTCCACAAGGGCATTAACAATGACTCATTTTCATACAAAAGTTCCATCGTTTTTCTGGATTAAAAAACGTAAAAATAATAATAAGTTGTTAAATAAATGATTTGACAAACCATGGTAAATATGACGATTATTCACCTCGTAAAGTTGAATATAAAAATAGGTTATGTTGTTGCCAAAATAGCAGAGGAGTGAGTGTTGTTGTGCGTTAATGTGTGATCCAGGGAAGGTCTTAACGCCGTGTTGGTACTATTGTGTCTCCTCTCCCTAGACGCCATAAAGGTTTTTGAACTTTATTATTTAAAAGCTCTGTCTGTCTGTCTGTCTGTCTGTCTGTCTGTTTCTGTCTCTCTGTCTCTCTCTTTATCTTTCTGTTTCTCTCATTTTTTCTTTCGTCTCTCTTTATCTTTTTTCTCTGTTTTTCTTTCTATATTTTTTTTCTAATTTCCCCTCTCAACTTCCCTCTTCCTTCATTTACTTATTTCATTCTTTCTATCATATTTGTTTTCCTTTTTTTATATAATTCTTTCGCATGTTCAGTCTACCACTTTCTTCCTCTTTCCTCTTTCTTTTTCTTCCTCTTTCCTCTTTCGTTCAGTCACTCAGAGTCTACTTTTGTATTGTCCATATTAGTGACGATGTGTGTGAGGGAGAGAGTGTGTGAGGGAGAGAGTGTGTGAGGGAGAGAGTGTGTGAGGGAGAGAGTGTGTGAGGGAGAGAGTGTGTGAGGGAGAGAGCATGTGAGGAAGATAGCATATGATAGAGTGTGTGCGTGTGATGGAGAGAGTGTGAGAAGGTGTGAAAGAGAGAGTGTGTGTGCGTGTGTGAGAGAGAGAATGTGTTAAAGAGAGAGAGAGAGAGAGAGTGAGTGTGTGGGAGCTATAAACGATCCTTCAAGAGAGAGAAGTACATTAGACTCTTTCATTAACTTGTATTGTCAAGGTAAAAAAAAAATATATATATAATTTTTGTATATTTTCGTGAAATTTTAATAGTCTTATTCTTTTATTTATGAACATTAATATTTTTTTTTCATTTCCCCCTTATGTATTTTTTATTTTATTTATTTATTTATTATTATTTAAATCCGTATTTCCCGTTTCCATGTTCATAATTTTTCTGGCTCACTCTCTCCTCTTCCCTCTTCTCCTCTCTGCAATTTCTTTCTTTTTTCTTTTCTTTTTTCTTTCTTTCTTCATTTTTCTACATTTTTCTACTCTCACCCTTCCTATCATCATCATTACTCCCAGGTCCCACCTTCATAAACTGTAACTTTAAATTATATTCTTTTCATCTCTTAATTATCTAATCTTATTCTTTCCATTTCCTCCATATTCTTCTATGTTTTCTCTCTTTCCAATTATCTAAATGTCTTCTTTTATGTTATTTTCCCTTACTATCCCTTCTCGTCTTATTTTTATCTCTTTTTTCATATTTATCGTAATTTCTTTGTGTTAATCGTTCATTCTCATCCACCTCTTTCTTCTATAATAACAAAACAAAACAAGAAAATTAGTATAATCCCGTAACACACATCAGCTGGCCGCCTCATTCATATCTAACCCGTTCCAAAAACTCCGCCAAAACAGCGAGTGACGTAAACTCAACTGGCGACAACATAACTTTCATAAAATTACATCTTCTAATCCTGCCTCAAACAGCTGAACGGTCTCCTCTCTTCCACCCCGTCCCTCACTTTATCACCTCTCACCTCTTCACCACATCTTCACATCACGCTGTCTTCTCCGAGCTTAGTCATAAAGTAGTTGTTGACTAAAATAAACTCGCACGTTGTCTAAAAACTACTGGGGTTAAGGACACAGGCGCCAAGGAAAACTGATCTGTGTTATGGAGGCAAGGTCGACGTGTGTGTGTGTGGGGGGGGGGGGGGGGGGGGGGGTCCCTATGAGCACATTCTAGTTGTTTTTCTCTGGGTGTGTTGGGTGAGGTAAACGGCAGTCTCTACCCTAGTACACTCGCTATATTTAACCTCTACAGTTGTGGGGGGGGTGGGAGAGATTGTTTGTTCCTACAGTGTGTACGTTTTGGGTGTGTATCTGTGTGTGCGCGCATGTGTGAACGCATGTGTGTGTGTGTGTGTGTGTGTCATAGAGGCATTGTGATTAGGACAGAACTGACTTAATGTTGGAAATGGTCGGTGCAAGAATTCAAGTCGAGTTTTAAAATTCTTTTCTGACGAGCTGGAGTTTGTTCTCTCTCTGATGTTCACTTCCTGGCTCTATCTTTTCTCTAAAGTAAACAAAATCCTCACGCTCAGTTTAGTTTGTCATATTAAGTCTTTTGTTTTCTTAGCTCTTCGTCACCTCGGACTCGTAAAGACTTATAAAGACAACCTTCAGGCAGCATTAAACGTAGAGAATGTATATATATAAACAGAACATATATATATATATATATATAAGAAACCTCCGGCTCCCACCAGAAAGTATATTTGTATGTTTGACACGCCAAGCTCCTCCCGCCTGAGTTAGTGATTCCCCTCACGTGTTTACGAGTCGAAAACAAACACATCCGCTTCTTGCAGTGCATCCAGTTGGGTTGCCCTGTGACACCTAAAGCGAGGCTCCAACACCGGCAACTTACCTCTCACAGCGTCCCTAAATGGTCTCTTACAACATGTCTTATTGGGTTTTTAGAACACCTTGAAGTGGATTCTTACAACAACTCCCAGTGAGCCCTCGTGCCCCCTCGAGTGTACTGTTGTGTTAGTTTTCATTCCTTACAGTATTATCATTTTATATTTGTCATCAGTAACTAGTTATTCTCTCTGCTATACGGGGTGGAACAGGTACACGAAGAAACATGAATAAATAAGAAAATAACACACTAAAGGAATAAATAAGTAGGACTGATAAGGAAGAAATGCCATTCGTTTCTAAGTAATCTCTTCAACGTTATTTCCACTCTTGTTCTCTTCCCCACGTTTCTACAGTGACTCCGGAACATTCATACACAGCTAAGAGTAGGTTGATGGCCACTAAAAGTAATCTCAGTTAGCAGAGTGCGTGAATCACTGCATCAACAGTGTGCACGAGTAACTAGAACAAATAGAAGAATACTCTGGTCACTGGAATTTACTAAGTTCAGTGTTAATTAATTTTGTAAAGCGTGGAAGTATGACTTTGTGGACATTTTTAATCCAAGTTTCAACTCAAAATACCTTTATTTTATGCATTTTGGTGAATATAACTATGGCAGTGAATTATTATTATTACAAAAAATAATCAACAATGCGACTGGCAAATATTTACCTCAACGTTTCATAATCTTAAGAGTTACGAGTCAAGATGATTCTCTTTTGTTCGCGTCGTCACAGCCAAAGAATTCCACTGATTACATCTGAAAGGGAAGACAGACGTTCACTACACCTTCACATTCCTCCACACAGACATATTTACTGTGTACTCTACCCGTTTTATTTTTAGCTTTTGTTTACACTCCGATCAACATGTACTCAAATCAACCCGAAAAAAGTACGTCCACATGTTAACAGTGTTTGTAAACAGTCTAGGTGACGCTCAGAATACATCTATATCTACTGTAGGTGGTCAGCGGCAGAACGTCTGGGGTTTATCTTGGTATTTGCGGTCGTCGGGTCTTTAAGCCACATGAGTCCCTCAGAGGCTTTACACTGCATGGCTGCTGAGGGTCTTTCTAGCCTGGAGCCAGTTAGTGTAATAACACTTTTTACTGATGCATTATGGTTCTGTTACTACACTATGACTGTAGTAAATCAAGTCTAGGTACTGTTATATACGTCGTTTACAATTGTATTACCTCCTGTTAGACTCAGTGACTAGTGTTATCTGAGCAAGTGTGAGGTGAAGTGAGACGAGAAACAGATTACAGAACTGAAGATGAAAGACAAGCGAGACAAAATGTTAGGAGGCTTTTGTGCGGTGTTGTGATGGTGGTGTGTAGCGTGGTGGTGTGTGGTGGGCATGAGGGTGTGGGTGTAGAGGCGGAGTCTAGCCTTGGTGGCGACAGGTAGCGAGGGGTGGTAAGGGGCGGGGTCTGGCACGGTTGGCATGAGGTAAAAGGTGCCCCTCATCCCCTCCCCCACGGTCTACCTCACCCTGAGAGTGAGTGAAGGCAAAATGAGCAAGGGGAGGGAGGGCAAGGTTTTAGGGGGCGGGCAGAGGGCGTGCGCCGACCCACCTGCCTAATATAGCCGCAATATTAATATTGGTCGGTGGTGCCGGCGGCCGGAGGGTATATAGAGGGGTGGAGACCTGCGGCCCGGTGTCCGTTCCTGTGTCCTGCCGCAGCCATGTCCCGCAAGTCAGGCTCCCGCTCCTCCTCCAAGAGAGGGTCAAAGAAGTCAGGAGGAGGAAGCAATGTGTTTGATATGTTCACACAGCGGCAGGTGGCCGAATTCAAGGAGGGTTTCCAGCTGATGGACCGCGACAAGGACGGAGTTATCGGCAAAAATGATCTCCGCGGAACCTTCGATGAAATCGGTCGCATTGCCACCGACCAGGAGCTGGACGAGATGTTGGCGGACGCCCCAGCACCCATCAACTTCACCATGTTGCTCAATATGTTCGCTGAGCGACAGACGGGCGAGTCGGACGACGACGACGTGGTGGCGAAAGCCTTCATAGCCTTCTCTGACGAAGAGGGGCTGATAGACTGCGACACCTTCCGCCACGCTCTCATGACCTGGGGTGACAAATTCTCAGCTCAGGAGGCTGACGACGCAATCGATCAGATGGATGTCGGTGACGACGGCAAGATTGACGTACAGACCATCATCCAGATGCTGACAGCCGGCGCCGGTGACGATGCTGCCGCGGGAGAAGGCGAAGAAGCCTAAAAGACCCCCAAGCCACTCCTACCCTCAAGCACACGCCCAGCTCCCCACGCTCAGTGTGTAATATGAGTCAAGAAGCAAGTCACTGCCAATGGGCTGTGCTCGAGGCTAGACCTTTGTTATCGTGGTGTTGTGACTGTGAGAGAACAGCTAAATTCAGATGAGTGTCTCCCAAGATACGAAAAAAAAAATAATACAACGAACTCTAGGCCTATAGTGGTTTATATTAATTGTTGATGATCGACCTATTCAAATAAAGCCAAATTTGGATAAGTGCTTGAAATCTCATTATCTTTATTCCTTGTGTCAATAGAGTCAACAATGTTCCCGTTGAGAATGACAACATATCAGTCATCGCACCAGCAATACTCAACATGACAATAATGTGTAGTCCGGACGCGTATTTTTCAAGTCCTTCCTTTGTAGCCATGTAAGAGTCTTTCTTGAAATGAAATCATTCCAACTAACTGTTACTATGGACGTTTTACTCAGCACCCCACGTCAACAATCTCCCCTTGATGTCCTTTTTTATTTGGTTTGTGGAAATGAAATTAAACAAACCAAAACCAATATCCTAGAAATGACTCCAAGTACAGTATTTATCTCAACCAATCAGGTAGTCTCCTGTGTAACAGAGAAAAGTGTACAAAATCGTGAAAAAACAAAGAGCTAAATTTAACACCATCAACCCACAAGACAATGATTGAATTGATAATGAAACAAAGTGTCTCGTAATAGGTTTGATGGTACCACAATATTTCAAATACAAAGTGGCAACCTTGTGAAGAATATGGTTTAATCTTTTGGGATTTACAGCTTATATTAATCATCGTCATTAAAAGAAATAATTCAAATCATCATTATAGAATTATAGTTTAAATCATCGTCTTCGGAGGGTTATACCACACTGTCACCTTAAAAACGTACAAAACTGAAATATTAAAATTGTTCAAGAAGATAAGTATGGGTGGCGTTGTCCAACATGGCAGCCGATTTACAATATATTTCTCTCATAATACACCAAAAACAAACCAACTGTAACCTAAACTAACCTAACCAAACTCAACCTAACCTAACCACCCTTACCTAACCTAACCACCCTTACCTAACCTAACCACCCTTACCTAACCACCCTAACCTAACCTAACCTAAGCTAACCTAACCTAAGCTAACCTAACCTTACACAGCCACTCTTATAAAATAATTTCTTTAGCTTAGAATCAATAAAAATTTACTTGGTTGGTTTTGGGTTGGTTAATATTGGTAGATATTTATACGAAATTTACCAGGAAAAAAATAGGAAGAATAATACCGAGTTTTAAGACAATTGATGAAACTGAACAAGGAAAATAAGTCTTAATTATTTAGGTTTATAGACAAGAAAATACATAAAACGATGGATTAAAATCACTCGTGTGTTTGATCATCGTAATTACTGATCTCAACTTTGTATCATGAGCAGCAGTATGTCTTAAGAACCTGGAAACTTCCTTAATTACAGAGAGAGAGGTGGATTTTAACCTTATATATTATGTATTATCCCGAGCAGGTAATCCCCTTAGAAATCCCAGAAGATAGGGATTCTCAAAGTTAGTTATCCCCAAATTAGTAAATCCCTTAAGCTAGTAATTTCCATGAGGTAGAAATCACCAAAGATAAGAATTCCCCCAAATCAGTAAATCCCAAAGGCAGTAATCCCCCTCAGCTAGTAATCCCCGAAGATGTGAATTTCCCCAAGCTAGTAATCCCCGAAGATGTGAATTTCCCCAAGCTAGTAATCCCCGAAGATATGAATTTCCCCAAGCTAGTAATCCCCAGCTAGTCAACCCCCTACCTTGTAATCCCCCAAAGAAGTAATCCTAAAGCTACCAAGTAATCCCCTCAAGCCAGTTGACCCAGTTGAAAAATCTACCGCTTTTAAAAAAATCATTCGTGGAAATTAAAAATACTTAATATTACTTTGTTAATCCTTGTTAAGGTGACATTATACTGTTCATTACTTACCTCATTATACCAGGTACCTCATTATACCAGGTACCGTCACTAAGCCAAAGAGCGGGATAGATGAAAATAGATGTACCATTTAACCCTTTGAGAACGAAAGGGTCAAACCATTTTCTTGAAAGGGTTAAGAAATGGTCCTCAAGGGTTAAACCATCGTCATTAAAAGGTTAAACCATCGTACACAAAGGGTTAAACTATCATACACAAAGGGTTAAACCATCGTCATCAAAGGGTTAAACCATCATACACAAAGAGTTAAACCACCAAGGAATAACAGACAGATGAATAATTAAATGAATAAGGACATGGTGAAAAACACAACTATTATTGGGCGTTGTATTATACACGTACAGTATCAGAAAGACGTAGAGAGAGAGAGAGAGAGAGAGAGAGATAAAGAGCAATACACCAGGTGACAAAAGAGGTAGAGAGATAAGGACTACAAAGAAATATAGAGGTAAAGAAAAATAGAAAAGAACGACACACAGACTTAGAAGAACGAGATAAGAGAGACAGAGAAAGTAAATAAGAGAGACAGAAAGTAAATAAGACAGAAAGATAAATGAAAAGATAGAAAAATAGAGATAGACAAGGAGAGAAAGTTAGCTCAAAATAATAAAGAGAATGAGATAAGAGATACTGATAAATATAGTAATTGTAAAGATAATAGAATAAAAGAGACATATAGAATAAGATAATGAAATACAAGGAGGAAGAAATTATATTGTGTAGCTGATATTGACAAAGGAACACAGTCGGTTCAGGGGGTAACACCATTTAGCTGCTAGACATAAGCAATGCTGTTTACACATAGTTATATTTTCGCATTGAACTGTTGTGAGAGAGAGAGAGAGAGAGAGAGAGAGAGAGAGAGAGAGAGAGATCCACTCGATATCCATGGAAATTAATAAGGCAATCTATGAATTTATTTTTTATAGACACCCGGTTATAGTCATGATGTCGCGGGTATTTTTTTTTTTTTTTTTTTGCATCAACCAGACAATAATACCATGAAGGATTGTCTGAGGTACCGCGTGACGTAGTGGCGAGGAGGACTGGTACTAGTTATTATACACAAACAACAGATTATCTCCCCATTAGTGAAATATCCCATTAATGAAGGTAAAAATTATCACTTTTTCACCTGTTTCATAATTTTTTATTTTATTTTTTATTTTATATTGAAATCTGTCTCCTATTTAACAGGTATACAAATTTGATATAATTTGTTCTATATTTTGGTTTTCAGTACAAATAATATAAAAAAAATTAAAAAATCCTAAGATTTTTTTATTTAATTATTTATTTTTTTTACGTATCAACCCATATTATTTTATTATACTAAACTACTATATTGGTTTAACCTGCACCATGATGATTGCATAACATCAGGGATAAATTACTGACGTGTCGTAATTGCCTTTTAAAATCAAACCCAAAATGGAATTGAAATTTAGTGTCAAAATATTTTTGGGTATTACTCCATGGTGAAGTTAAACACGTTAATAATACCATAATAAAAATTTATGTATTGAAATTATGGTTTTTACGGATTTGCTTTTTTTTTGTCTCTTTCCCACTCTCCATAAATCTCTCTCCCCTTCCTACACCCTCCCCCCTCTCTCCCTCTCTCTCTCTCTCTCTCTCTCTCATTTAAAGCAATCTACGTTAATGCATCAATGTTAACATGAGCTTTTCAAACTGTATATGAGGGCGGGGGGGAGGGGAAAAAATATCGCTCATAAATTTAAAAAAAAAATCCAGTTTTTCCTTTTTCATTTGGAATTGCCATGAATTAGAGCATTTAAAGCGTAAAGTTTTTTTTTTTAATATATTAATACGTACTCTATATGTGGGTGTACATTTCATAATAAAAACATGTGTTTTTTTATATAATATTTTACCCATGAGATGAATACCACTGCGGGTGGAATTTCATCAACTATTATGGTTCATATCATCAACCTGACAAAGAAACACTGTTGGTGGAAGTTATCATTTATTTTAACATTTTCATTATTAGCCATTATTTTTTATGGAAGTTAATGGATATAAATAGTTTGGCATATATTTTCTAGCTACTCTCATGTATGTAAATTTGTATGTATGATGAGGACAAACTTTTAATATTCTTCGATACACACACACACACACACACACACACACACACGAAGGAATGGTGAGGGTAGTTTTCGCCCAAACTTTGATAGAATCTGAGTGAAAGTTAAGAACAGCAAGAAAAAGTACCAAAAAGTTAAATGCCACGAGACCACAGATCAAAGACACGAAGCAATCACGAACCTCGGCTTGAGAGAACCTTTCATGTCAACAAGTATAATACCCGAAGCGTTCAGGTCAAGAAGCACAAGACTGACTGAAGTAAAAGTTTCACAGCCAGAGAACAGGACATGAATATTAAATCGGTGGAAGAGAATGTGTTTTTAACTAAATTTCAATATAGGTGGCGCTCTAACTAATGATAACAGGATTTAACTATATTAGTGAGCTATACGAGGACTTTGCTCAGTAACTAGTACGTGAATACAACCAAATAATGACAAATTTAGACACAGATCATTCAGTCAACTAGGATCCATCTTTAGCTGTTAGAATCATCCTTAATTCATTTCCTTCCTGACCTGACTGGATATCATTCTAGCTCAAGAGGGACTTATTTTCACGTTAATCTTTACTCTGTGGTGATCTGGTCTATTCTATTGTTAATTTTATGATATGAATCTGGTATTTTACTCAATCATGAAGACTTTACAGAATAATTATAGACCTAGGTGTAGGCTGTAGACCTATGATGTCATTATTACTGTTATAGAAATCGCCTACCCATATAACCGAGACTAGTTATAGACCTTCAGTTATAGACCTTTAGTTATAGACCTCCAGTTATAGACCTCCAGTTATAGACCTCCAGTTATAGACCTTCAGTTATAGACCTCCAGTTATAGACCTCCAGTTATAGACCTCCAGTTATAGACCTCCAGTTATAGACCTTCAGTTATAGACCTCCAGTTATAGACCTTCAGTTATAGGCCTCCAGTTATAGACCTCCAGTTTTAGACCTCCAGTTTTGCATTCCTAAAAGAATCTCCAGCAGACCTCAGCTAGAATTTCCCAGCGAGATTCCCAATTATAGACTTCTCCAGTTATAGACTTCACAGTTATAGACCTCTCAGTTATAGACCTTTCAGTTATAGACCTCCAGTTATAGACCTCCAGTTAATCTCCCACATAGACCTCAGCAGGACCTCCAG